AAAAAATGTTTTTTAGGTTGGAGTTATTCCTACCTTCGCACTCTGCATCACTCAATCTCTATGAAAATAGCAGGGTGCTCCATAACTGTCGGGCAGGCAACACCCTGGCCATAAAAAAGTAATTGAACGTGGCCGGAGGAGAGTATTAGCATTTTTATCTACTCGGAACATAGTTGGAAAGTAAAATGACACTTTTAAAGAGGGCAGAAGTTGTATTTTTCCACTTTTAAATAAGCTCTCCGCGTCACCGTTCTTGTTATTATCGTTTGGCAAGATGCACTAATATTTCCAATCAATTTATTTCGATTTTGAAGCCACAAGTGGTCGTTTATGTTTTTAATTGCGGTTGTGGGTGTGATTGCATAACTTTTTCTTTAACACAAGTGATGGTGGAGAGCCGGTTAGTGTCCGAAGAGACGAAAGAGGGACTTGGGAGCTGTCAGCAGCCGTGAACGTCTGAATGTGGAACATCGATCAGGCTTTCCGGGGGACGTTAATAGTTCCTGTTTTCCTAACTGTGTGATCGTTACACTGCTCATTCCTCTAATCGGGCATTCACCTCGTTTCACGCAGTGGTTTTGTGAGCGTGTTCGGATTGTCTGCTGTTCTCATCTCCCAGAGCTCCACTTTCCTTAAGAGAACCGGAACTAATTCCCACTTCCCAGCGCACACCTGCAGTCTTCATGTTTTTGCTCCTGTTTGGAATTAAAGGGTGAACTTTTTTTATTTTTCTGGGGACAAAAGGGTCTGATCTACTATGTGGATCCTTCATCTTAGATGAGAGACTGGAGGTCTTTGTTTGAACACTTATCATAATTCAGGCTTTAACTTTTAGCTCATTCCTTGGTTGGTCAGTTGGTCAAAAATGGAAATGATTGTGTCGCTCTTGGCTTTATTTGGCTGCTGTTACAGGGAAACGTCAACCAGAACATGGCGTGTCGACTTTTCGGGGAAAGTTTCGAGCCAAAGCGAATAACAGTGTCTGAAATGGGAGCGCACTCACTTGCATGCACAAATTGGGACTCAGTTGGTTATTTACTCATTAGTGCCGTGATCTGAGTTGTTCTGCAGACGTCAATTTGTGTCGTTTCCATTTTGCCAATCGGCCAGATGGACGGCTCCGTCGCTTCTTCTGATAACGGCGGTTAATGGCGTTCCCCATTAGGAGGATTGATGTTATGTTCTCCATCAGACAGTAAAACTATTTGTCCTGGACATAATAACTCAGTCAACCCCCCTTACCCCACCCCCCCACCACCTTATAATCATATTAGTAAGAAAAAAAACTTTCCATCTGTCTGCTCAAGGCTTTAATCAAGCCTCCAAGTGTGCCGGCTCCAAACCCATGATTGACTCGCCTCCTTCTCTCTATAACTGACTCACGGACACTTCCAATTAGCGTCTGCTCTGCGGTGCGCTAGTCACGGTCCCCGGGCCTATCACGCTGCACACAAGCCGTTTGATTGGATATCTCAGGCTGCCGGTTCATCATGAGCACACTGTCTAGGTGGTGGGGGGAAAGGCTTTAGCGCATTTTGATTTTTTTCCCTGCTTCTGGCTTCTCTCGCAATGTGCCAAAGTCCTTCAACGAGGTTCAATCTTCCCTAACTTTGAACGTAATCTAAAAAAATATATAGCCTTAAAACAAGGAGGAAGGGAAATGTTATTTGGGAGGTGTACGCTTTCGTCCGTGGTTCGGAAAAAACAAAAAATTCCCTCTTTTTAATTCAATTCAATTCAATTTTATTCATATAGCGCCACATCACAACAACAGTTGTCTCACAGCGCTTTCCAAACAGGGCAGGTCAGACCCTACTCTGAAGTTAATTACAGAAACCCAACAATTCCCACCATGAGCAAGCACTAGGCGACACAGGCAAGGAAAAACTTCCTTTTAACAGGCAGAAACCTCGAGCAGAACCATGGCTCAGGGTGGGCGGCCATCTATTATTGACTTTTTATTCAGATTGGGTATTCAGGCGGCACGCCTCGTGTCCTTTAACTGGGCTGATAAGGACCCGCTCAGCATCCGCCAGCGTGCTCTTTCCCCCGGCGCCCCTGATTGACTCGGTGGCATTTTTTATTTTCTTTCTAAAACTGTTTTCCCTCTCCCTCTGCGCGTAACACAAAGCAGTCAGGTGTTTTTGAAGGAAGTCGTCCGCGGGGACGCGCGCCGTCGTGTGTGTGTGTGTGTGTGTGTGTGTGTCGCTTTCATCGCCGTCGTGACATTCTCCTCTTTGACTCTGAGGAAGAAAGTCAAGTCTGGCTGTTTTTTTTGTTTGTTTTGTTTTTTTCCCCCCCTCATTCCCCAAGACCATAACGCAAAGCAAAGTGTGAGTTCTAAAAAGTCAAAGGCATCATTTGATCCAACTTCTGTGTCCCCAACCCTTCTGCCTATCTCAGGTGGGGCTGGTGCTGCACTACTCGTCCTTGTCCACCATGCTGTGGCTGGGGGTGACCGCCCGGAACATTTACAAGCAGGTGACCAAGAGGCCTCCGCAGAGCAGAGACGGTGACCCGCCCCCTTCCCCGAAGCAGACCCTGTTGAGGTAAGCGGAAAAAGACAAACTCACCGGCCCGTTGTGGGCCCGTTGTGGGCCCGTCTCTCGTTTTTGTCAGCACCGGCTCGGCTGAGACTTGGGAGATGTGCGTTTAAATCCAAAGGCTATTTCTGTCATAGCTTTCTCTTTTTTTCTTTTTTTTTCTCACTATAAGCAGCTGTGGATGAGCCTTTAAAGATAAGCCAGAATGCCATCACAACAATGCGAACTGTGCTAAAGGTCCTCTGGTCACTGAGTCACATCATCATAAAACATTCATAGTAAAATGCTGGATTTTTTTTCCCCGGTGCATTTTATCACTAATATCTTGTCTTTTATGCCTTTTCTCAAATGATGGGGGTAAAAAAACAGTCACTTTTCATACTTTATCCAAATGATAGCTTTTCAAAAGATTAAAGAGCTGTGGAGAATTGATCAGAGACACATAATAAGCAGTCTTTCTACAGAGAACGTAGTGGCACAGCGAGTACAATAATGCATCTGACATGTATAGTATTGGCCATTTAATTTGCTATAAGTGGTCGGTAAGGGGAAAAACAGCACTTCGCTACGGTCCTTGTAAAGACGCGGGCTCATTTTTTTTCAGCCTCTGAAATCTCAGGCTGATCTGAGGAGATTAATTTGTACCCACATGGACAACACTGTACTGTCATAATACAGATCCAATCATATCCAGACGGCTCCATTTTTCATTCATTTGCGTTTATTTGGGATCCTGTTGACTATTATTTGAAAATCTGTTTCAGATTTTAGAGGTTTTTGCACCTTTACTTTGGAATTACAATAGTCTTTTCAGTCAAACTTGGTCAGTCTGTGTATGGGCTTTTTTTTTTTTTTACCAGCATGCCTACTTGAACCTGTTTTTTTCTGTAGATGGAAAAACTATCAGACAAAGATTTGCAAGGTTTTTTCTGCGTAATATTTGGAGCTCATCCACAAACCTTCCAGTAATCGTCTGGACTAATCGTCAGTCGTCTGAAACACTGCTAACTGATAATATTTTTTTTTGCAGCGGAAGGATTTATTAATTGGAGACATTTCAGATATTTTTCAAATCCTTTGCCAGGTTTTTGGAGGAAAAAAGATCTAGCTTTTATCTACTTTTATCTGAAGGCGTCAGAGCCCTTTTATCCGTAGGTCTTGGTGGATTCTTTAGATCTTGGGATGATGACACCTAACATTTCAATAGGAGTTAAAAAAAAAGAAAAAGTAAAAAAACTAAACCCTTCATGTGGGGTTTTTTGAAAAAAAAAAGCAGGTTATACGAGTCAGTCCATAAAAAGACTATAATCATAAGCTACCTAGAACTGCCACTTTGAGTTTTAAAGATTTGTTGCCACGATAAATGTGAAACTTTCTCTGTAAACAATTTTCCAAAGGTGATCACAAATCCAAAGGATTATTTTCCCCTTGATTTCTCACATCAGCGTGCACGTTTGTCGATGCCTGCGTCTCTCTTGATTTCTGCCGCTTTGTTTCTCAGACGTTTTCTGGCTCGTTTTTGTTTAGAGGGCAGCAATAACTTTGCACAAATGAGTTACTCCGTTGTTTATCTGCAGAGACATCCGCAGCTAGTTTGCATTCTGTCCAGCCTCATTAACACCTAGTCCTGGTTCGGGGCACGAAATGACCATAAGTGAACTTGACGGTTGACCTGTGGGGACGTCACTGGACAGACTTTAAAAAAAAAAAAGTTTTAGTCATTTGCAGCCGAGTTTGTCTTAAATCTTTGAGACGGTAAGAAAAGAGTCATTTTTGTGTGTCTGCAACAAAAATCCTATTGTTTGGAGAGAAAGTAAACATTTAAATAGGATTGCAAACCGGTGTGCCTCCGATCTGATTAGCCCTGCCGTGACACTGGTGTGTTACGGATAAACACTTTTAACTAATTTTGCACATTAGCCTTGAAAAATAACTGTAAGTTACGAATTAAATGTGATGTAAATGAGTCAGAAAGGTTCCGGCAGAATGTTATGTAATTGCTACATTACTGATTTGGCCATTATGTTGGAGCAGAGGCAAAATATGGACAAAATAATGACATGTCACTACTGTAACGCGACCATAACGTCACTGTTTCTATGTTTTGACAAATTCCAATTTTCTGTCTAGAGTTTTGAGAAGCTATTATTGGGAAATGTTCTGCATTTGACCTACTTTTCCTGTTTATGATAAGTTTGTGTTGCTTGGGATGACGCATTCAATCGTCTATTGCAATTTTGAATTTCTGCACAATTGATAAATAGAGAAAAGAATGCCAAGCTTAGTTTTTCTTATTTTATCTTAGCTTTTAGTTTCCTCCTTAATACCTGTTGGCTGTTAATTAATCAATTTCTTAATGATAATAAGAGCCTTAAAGCATGCAGTAACTGCCAATAAGTCAGTCAGCCATTGTGTATCCCTAATGTCGCAAATAATAAAATCTATTGCATGTCAAAAAGAGGCACAAAAGAGGGTCCGGGAGACAAGCTAGGATGGCTCCTGGTCACCTCCCCACGTTGAACAGGGAGGTGGCCAGGCCCAGACCTCACTGGAGAGCCAACATACCCCATCTGGACTGAATACCTCAGGATCCACGTCTGTTTGCCTCCTAAATTTTTGTCTGTAGGTGCCATGTGGGGAGAAGAAACACCAGTGAAAGTCAGAGTTGAATCATTAGGCTGAAAGACGATGGTAAAACCATTATGCATATCGATCAAATCCTTTGCATGAACCAAATCAGCTGCAAGGAATGTCATGACTAAAGTAACACCTCCACTGCTGATGGCAAAATGCCCACCCAACAGATCAGAAAAAGTCCTCAAGAGTCTTTATCAGACTTTGTGAACGACAATACACAGGAAAAAAAACAGTGGCTGCACTACGAGATTTACTTAAAGGAGCCTGTAGAATTTTAGAGGAGGTGGTGGGCGTGATCGCAAGAATAAAGGGGAGTGGGCGAAAACAGGGTTGTTATGACTCGGGCAAGATTCACCATCCAAGCATCTGGCAGATTTTTAGCTTAATTGATATACAGAAACATCTCATCTGCTCTAGTTCCATTAAATGCCCTCAAATTAAGTTAAGAAAAAAGAACATTTTTGGAATGGCAAGGTCAGCCACCTGGTATACTGTAAATCCAATTGAGCGTTTCCCCCGACAGCTGAAGCCGATTAATGTATTTTTGCAAATTGTTCCAGACGTTTATCAAAACACAAACAATAACCGGACTGGATTTTTTTTGGGCTCTGTCGTCTTGCCTGAGGCCTTCGACTCCACTGCGGGCTTTGGCGGGCGGAATGTGGCGGGCTGGTGACAGTTAAGAGGAGGCAGAAGGATGAAGAAGCAAAGGACTTAAACAACCTGGCGTCATCCCAGCGCTGTAACTAATTACTTCAGTCACCGCAGAGGCTGGCTGAGCTTTATCACAAATCTAAATGTATTAAGTCTTTTGAATCGCTTCATTCCCATTTGCATTACACACACACACACACACACACACATATCAAATTGAATTACTTCTTCTTGTGGGGTTTCTTCCCTCCCTCTCATTGTCCTTTTCATTAAGTTTTATTCTCCTCCACTCCGTTCTTGCGTTTAAGAGGATCAGCTTTCGGTTTTTTGGACGCCCCTGCAGGCTGGGCTGCAGAGGCTCGCTTCAGAAAGCCCGTGAGAGCAGAGGTACGGAGGCAAACGTACGTTTGGCATTTCGATCGATCGATTGATTTTTTTTTTTTTTTGCTGTTGGGAGTTAAATGCACCGTCGGTGATCTCTGAATTTCGTCGAACTGCTTTATCACACGTTCAAGTGTAATGGGTGAACTGGCACCCGGTTATTCAAATGTGGGGACTTAAACTCGATATGAACCGGCGGAATACAAAGAGCTGCGGCGAATGGCTTTTTCTTCTTCTTTTTTTGGGATGGAGTTCAAAGAATTATTGTGACACGAGTAGCACTCGGATGGGTATTTATAGTCTGAGACGTAAACAGACACTGTTGCTTTAAGCTAAATGAACTCGAGCTGAATCATTGAGAGAAACTGCATGGGCACGGCCAGACAACCAGCCTCATCAAAGCTCATTCAACACGTACTTGGCTGCTCCAACAGTCCTAATCCCTATACCAACTGCTCTTTTAGCCTAAATTTCTCAACCATCTGGATTTTCGCGGGTACGATCGTCGCTAAGAAAAACTCCCGTTGGAGTCCAGGAAGAGTAGTGGCGCGCGAAAAAGATGGGCTCTCTCACTGTGCTTTGAGGCTTAAATGACAGGTGATTCAAAAATAATCTTGGGAATTGCATTTATTCTGATTCGACACTTCGGAATTTTCAAAAACGGAATGGCTCAAAGGGGAAACTCAAAATTGATAACTGCGGTTTTCGCCCAAAAAACAAACATGCACGTTAGGCTGATTGGAAAGTCTAAATCGCCCCTGGGAATGAATGTGTGTGTGTGTGTGTGTGGTCGTTCGTTTCTGCGTGGCTCTGTGATGGATGACCTGACCGGGCGTACCCTGCCTATCGTCTAATGACAGCTGGGATAGGTTCCAGCCCCCCCCCCCCTCCACCCTGCTCAGAAATGGACGACGATAGTGAACTACACTCGGGGGTTTTTAGGGGTTATCAATGCAAACTGTGTTTTTCTGTGACTGTTTAAGCGCCGACTAAGATGAATACGCCCGACCCCAGACCGCGCTCGGGTTTGGCGCGATCGGGAACACGGAGCGAGCCGTGCCAGCAGAGGTGGGAGATTGATGATGCGGGGGGCTTCACGGATGGGGAAAAAAAAAAGGTTTTGAGGACATGACTTTTATGAGCGGGCGGTATTCTGTAGATATATCATGTACCGGCTGGCAATTTGACACGGGCGACGGCAGATTGATCTACGACGCCGAAAAGTTTGACTACCCGACGCCGTATCTGGGTTTGTCTTACCGAAAAAACAACCACCAGAAGAATCTTTCCTGGAGCTTTCTCAGCGAAGGACAAGGGATGCTAAGTGGATATTGGACGAAAGTTAAATACGCGTTTGGCAGCGGCCAGGTTTGAAAATAACAAAAGTATCTGTGACCTGTGTGAACCTCGGTTCTATGCAGAGAACAATTTAAAAGCATAGCCTGAAATTTCTCTTTCCGAAAGCCTGATTTGTCAGAATGAGGTCCCAAAGCAACACTCCGGTTGTACATCAGACAGATTTGTCTGAACATATTTAATTTTGCTCTAACTTTTGTAATTAGAAGAGTCTTGATTAGTACAATTATGTGTATCTTGGTATTAAACTTAATGGGAATGCTTTATTTTACGTGATTTCAAAGTTCTGAAATGGTTTTCCTGACTGGCATTAACATTAGACCCTCACCCAAAACTGTGCCATCAGTAATTTTACAAATAAATGGAACATACAAGAGGTAAAATCTGTCAGCCTTGATTCTAGTCGTCTTTGCGAATGGGAGAAATGTGACTTTTCTTTCAGTTTTCGACCAGCTTTCGTTTAAAAAAAGAAAACCTCGGCGGACTCATGCTCTGCACCCCACCACCCCCACCCCACCACCTGACCGCTTATTCCCTAATGGGGTCACGGGGGGACTGGAGCCTACCCCAGTGGTCAATGGGCGAGAGGTCCACCCTGGACAGTCCAGCAGTCCATCACAAGGCCACGCGGTGTCTCATGTTTGACGTAATCAGAACTGAAATCTGCACCATGATGTGTTCCTACAGAAGAGGATCCCCACCCCCCACCCCCATCTACGTGCAGTAAGTCCTCAGACACCTGCGCGAATGGGGTGGATTTAAAGTGGAAAGTTCAAGGTTCTCCCATCACTTGTGAATAAGATAATTCATCGGGGGGGGGATTGGGATTGTGCAGCAGTGGAGGTGATCCACAGTGATTGACTGTAATGCTCTCCGTCAGGCAGAGACTCAGCAGCTGGAGACAAATCAATTCCCCCCCCCCACCATCCCTTCCCTCCCCATCCCCGTCTTCGCCTGTCCTTCCCGTCTGACAGCGTCTGATGGCGTGTCCGGCCAACCAGCGCGCTGACCTTTGTCAGGAATCCGCCACAGTGCGTGGGGCCACACACACACACACACACACACACACACACACACACACACCCCCACCCGACGCAATATGTTCATGCCATTAACCGCCCGTCGTCCCACGTGACGGGGGGCCGATCCTTCCTCCAACGGCTGAGTCTGAATCGCCGGCATCTGTTAAATGTCACCCAAAGCTTTCCCCTTTTTTCTCGACGTCGATATCAATAACCGCAAACGGGGCGCGGAAACGTACTCCCTCGGAAAGCGGAGCGAGGGGGAAAGAATAAAGAATATCTCGGGCCTACCATTTACCGAGATTAGATCAGACGGAGGAGCTCCTTATAGCAAAAGGGGAAGGGGGAGGGAAAAAAAATGAAGTGGCCAAGGGGAAATGTATATTTTCCAAAAACGTCCCATTACCCGGGAAAGGAAACAGCTGTGATTGGCTGTTATATATGGAGGCTCCTCAAGTGCCCAACCGGAGATTGACACCTCAAATGTCAAACGTGTCCGTCGCATGTGATTTCAGGAATAGCAGCTTGCTATCTAAATCTGCCAAGAAATAGTGCCATAAAACAACGCTTTTAAGTCGGATCAAGATGGGGGGTTATTTTAGAAATACTTAGCGGAAATATCGAGCCACATCTCGTCTCTTGGAAAAGATTGCCAGACAAGGGAAAACTCTAAAAATATGTGCGTCATTGAGAGTTGCATGGCTCATGTTTCATGTGGACATCAGATTTGGAAAATCTGCTGGGGACAGATTTTTTTTTTTTCCCTTTTTTTTTTTTTTTTTTTGGGTTCTGCTCCTTGTTTGTCGTCCACTTTAGATGCATTAAAAGTAATAATGAGTCTTTGCAGCAGCCTCCTAGTAGCAGATTACCCTTCTTACGGGTGGATACACACACTGCTTCATTTTTATGCTGAAATGATTGCTGGATCCATTAGAGGTGGCATTAGAAAAACAAACCACACGAAACCCTGAAAAGGCTGAAGGGAAGGCAACTGAGGGAAAGTCAGGCCTTCAGGCCCGGGACCTTCACCGCCGTCCGCTTTCAGCTGGACACTGAGGCCGGTCATGACCGTCAGCTGTCCTGTCCCCTCTCTTCTTTCTGGACCAGGTCCAGAGAGGGGACAGAGCGGAGTCACAAAGACGGAGACACAACGGAGGGAGGGAGCGGCCCACTCTCTGATAGAAAGGCTCCTCAGAGTCTAATTACATTGCCTTCTAAACTCACCCCAAAATAATAAAAAAAACGCAACTGTGAACCCGAAGCCATATTGACACCGCATGTGAAGGAAAAAACGTCCGTACGCTTCAATTTGAGAGAACGTCTGTGTAAGCGTGTAACGCGAAGGAGCGTCTTTTTTTTCATTTCAACCAAAAGGCCTGTCAACGTGTACAGGCCAGACACGTGTTGGGAAAGAGTCCCAGGCAGCCATTCCTAGAGGTTTAGCTATGAAAACAGCTCATCCAGTAAACGCTCTTCTATTGGAGACGGTTCCCCCCTGTTGGAGGGGAGCATTCCACCCGGGTACCTCACTTTTGCCACCAAACCGAGATGTTAAAACTCAGGAGAAAGCTTCTTTTTTTTCCCCCCCGAATTGCAGTATCGGCGCCACCTCCGCCCCGATCCTCCGATCCTCTGATCCTCCGATCCCTCCCCACCCCTGCCCCTCCCCCCGAGGGCAGACAAACATCTTGATCGTAATTGAATTTTCAGGGGGGGGGGAAAGAGGAGAGAATGTCGAAGAGGGAGAGACGGCGGCGGGAGGGTGGGAAGGGAGGATGAGGACGGAGGAAGGAGGGTTAGGATGCTGCGACAGGGGTCGAGACTGGGAGGAAATAGCGTGGCGTGATGCAGGATTGAGAGTGGATGACTGCGCAGAAGAGCCAGGACAAGGACAGTTCAGAGAGGGAGCTAAGAGATTTGTGTCCGCCCTGAATTTCGAAGGCTCCACTTCCTGCCATGAAAGTGCCATCGGTCACTAACGCACGGGGGAAAAAAAAGACATCAGAATGTCCTCCTGTGCAACATTCATTAGGGTCACGCCGCACTTCTATATTTAGGCTAAAACAAAAATCGGCTTTTCTCACTTTTGTAACTGATGCTGTTGCTTCTGGCCAATCAAATAACTAGAGACGGGCTAAATCACTCGTGGGAAGCCGGTCTGTGCAGTGTTTACCTGTCAAGTCTTCATATTTTTTGAAAATGAGTCTGCCCGTTTATGGGCACTTTTGCAGCTTTCTGCCTTTTTTTTTTTTTTTTCGCTCTCCGGATGTGGGAACGAACTGCAGGAGGATGAGAGATGAGATGCTGAGTCAGAGCAACAATTCGGCTTGCATTCCGGTTCATATTTCTAGGATCATTTTAGGGCTTTGCTCTCATTATTTTTCAAGATATGCTCATTTAATTGTGTGGATTATGTTCATAATTGAATAGTTCCTTTTTTTTCATCGGTATGCTATAATCAGTTTTTCCCTCCGTCATCCTTGAAATGACCCTTTTTTCTTGTAGAAAAGATCTTTTAATCATGCTCCATGAAAAAAAATCTTGTTTTGTTTTCTACTGTTTTTTCTTCCTCATATTATTATGTGATTTTTTTTTAAAGCTCTCATTTGGTTTCCACAATACTGTTTTGCCTGTTTTGGAATGATCATTCTTGTGTTGTGGAGTGTAAATATCATCTGCACACCTTTTAAACGTTCCGTCAGCCTTACTTAAGCTCTATAAAGGCCTCTTTTTTCTGCATCTCCTTGTCTCGAAGCAGCGTACCCCACCTACACAGCCTATCGTACCAATTTAAAAAATGCAGCTCGTGTCTTCGCCGCGCTTTGACTGGAAACCCCTTAATCACGGGAAGTCGGGCTCGCTTCGCCTTTCGCCAGACCTGGGGGAAGGCTCGGTAACAGAAAAAATGAATTCATTCAAATCCTCCGAGCTGGAGTCGATCAGCAGATGCCGCGAAGCGCCGACTGCTGGCGAGCGAACGGCGGCTCCGTCGAGAACGGGAAGCAGCTTTGTTTACGCCGTGAAATTTGCGCTTTGGGTTGGAGCACCCAAAACAAAATCGTAAGGTGTGATGGTGCCCCAAAGAGTGTGATCACAAACACGTCCACCAGCTCTCAGCAGTGATCTGATTTAGGGTTTTTTTTT